TATTGTATCAACTAGAGAGCACTGGTGCATGCTGGGAAATTAGAGGTCACGCTCTTCACCCACTGTGCTCGTCAGGGAAAACAGGCAGGCTTAGCGAATGATGATGGAGGCTCTTCCCTCACTGTCAAACACACAAGCTGTTCTCTCTTTCCCTGGTAGTTTGTGTGCCCCACTCAATAAACACACACACATGCACATTCTTTTTAGCTCCACGCTCCACTGCCCATTTATCTCTGCTCTTTTTTTCTCTTTAGTGAGATGGATGGCAAATTGGGTGGCGAAGAAAGAAGCAGTGATTGATAAAACAAGTGATGGGATTGGAAGGGAAGTGGTGGAGTTGATGAGTCCCACACCATTTAAAGAAAGGCTCAACTTCTAGCCAGTGGTGAATGTGGAGGAAGAAGCTCTTTAATTCACACCTGTGAATTCTTTATTGTTGAATTTACAGCACACAACACTTTTGTGTTTGTGTGGTAATTTGCTGAGAGCCTTTGCTTTCTGCTTTGCTTCCGTTCCAGTGAAATATCCTGTAGAAATGAAATATGGGCATCTCTTGTTTTACTTTCATGAAATGACAGATGCATGAAATTGGATGGGTGGTATTATTTTCTGATACGGAAACGGCTGACATCAGTGGACATGGTGTCAGGTGGCCGTCTCCTTAAATTAGTGTTGCATTGCAAACAGCCTTAGCAAAAGATTTGCAAAAGCACAGATCCCTAAACTCTACTTGGATTACTGCTTGTTGCTCATCTGCAACCTTGTTTGTCTGTCTTTTTGTTTCTGTGGTTTTAGTTCAAGGTGGATGGCGAGTGGTGGACATGGATTGACTACGAACGCTTTCAGGAACTGGTCCAAGCTTATGATGAAAGTGGAGGACAGCAGACTTTCTCTGCCTTGGACTACGTAGCCAAGACTCCCAGCTGGGCTCTGTTTGGAGCCCAAGAACAAGGTTTCGACCCTGCTGAGACACGTTTCCAACGACGCAACAAAAGCAAAGACATCTCAGGATGCTGATAGATGAGCGAGCGAGAGAAACCAGACAGAGGTAGAGTTACTATAGTGAGCGCCAATACTTAAATAAAAAACGGAAAATTTGGGGTTTGTTGTTTTTATTGCTATCCTCTTGGAGCTTCAGCGTTATTTGTGTGTCTGTATGTCCACAGCTGCCTTCCTTGTCATGTGGACTCCCTGGTTTAATTTCTCTTATATTTCATTTCTTTTGACATAACCTCTAAAATCAGTCATGGACCAGAAGAAATTTACTCACTCCTATTTTCTAGGAATTTGCCGGAACAACAGGTTATTTACAACATCAGGTTATTGCTTCTTTTTCTTCATAGATGTGCCTAGATCTTTAAAATA